TTCAAAAGTGAGATGTTTTCTTGTCCTATGTCTGTTTGGCCCTGCCACTTATTAGCTGTATGAACGTCACCAAGTTCAAGTCCTTGTCCTCTAGTTGTCATCTTTAAAACTGAGATTGTAATAGTGCCTGGGTTGTAGTTTTGTGAGGATTGAGTTAACTTATATTAAATACTTAGAACATTGCTGGGTACATAGTAAGCAAAATTTTCATTTTAGCTGCTATTACTAATACGTCTTCATTAAAGTTAGAAAAATGAGAGAGAGATTGAGTGTGGGACATTGCTCCAAGAATAATGAGAAAGAACATTATTTCTTTGTAGAAACAAAGTTTAATATACAATTATGCTTATCTTATGAGATGACAACACCATTTTATCATAAACTTATCCCACTTCATTCATTTATGTGAGTTGACTGGTGGTTGTAGCCAAATGAATTTGACGTTCCTGCTTAGGAATCAAGTCTATTTAAAGCATCTTTCCGAGTTTTAAATCTTTTGGTAGAGTACATTTAAGGAAACCACGAATGTTATTGTGTTTTCAACAGGTGAAGTTATTTTTAAGGAAAGAATAGGTTAAGTTTAGTTTTCGGAAAAATGTTCCATAAGTCTCTTCCAAAATATCTTTTTTTGTTCTCATTAAAAGCTTTAAGTTAATAGCTCACCATGAAGTTCTTTGGTTTTTTTTTTTTTTTGGCTTTATGAAGTTCTTATAAAAATTTTGGGTGTATTTAGGATATGAGGAAAGACATGGAAAATGATCACCAGAGGTAAAACATAAAGTTTAGTTAAAGATTTTAAAATAAATGAATTCAAATATGTAATTTTAAAACTTATACACAGAGTATTTAGAAGGCATGGGAAGACCAGCAGTCCTTGAAGCACATGTGCAGGAATGTACAACACAGGAAACACACCTTTCATCTCCTCTTGAGTCTCCTTCCCAAAAGACCAAAAGTGAGTAGCTAATTATAAATCCTTGAAATGACATACTGGACTTTTAGGTACAAATTTGTCCTATCTGTACAAAATTGCTAAGCCTTGTGAAAATTTCAAGTCTAATAAGTTCTACCTTATCCTCCCTATTTTATCTGTTTCTTCAACCAGCATTTATTGAGCTCCTGCTATTTGTCAGGCCCTACTCTTGGTCCTGAGATTCAGGGATAAACAAGGTAGAGAGCAGTCTCTGCTGCCATGAAGTTTACATGGAGTGGATATTTCATAGTAGGTTATTTTTTCCTCAAATGATTTTTTAAAATATATTTTATTGATTTTTTACAGAGAGGAAGGGAGAGAGATAGAGAGTTAGAAACATCGATGGGAGAGAAACATCGATCAGCCACCTCCTGCACATCTCCTACTTGGGGATGTGCCCGCAACCCAGGCACATGCCCTTGACTGGAATCGAACCTGGGACCTTTCAGTCCACAGGCTGACGCTCTATCCACTGAGCCAAACTGGTTTCGGCTCCTCAAATGAATTTTTAATGCAGAATAAAAAATACTGATCTCTGGATTGTAACTACTGGATTTTTTTTCCCAAAATAAATAATCAACATAAAGTGCCATTCTTAGAAAGATTAGAAAAATGAATATTTGTATGCAACCTACAAATATCAATGTTTTGACAGATGCTACATATCATTTACCTGTTTCTTCTGAGTCTTCCCTTAATATCAAATATCATAACTCTAATTTATTACTTGTTTTAATACATTCTATTTATTTTTATTAAACTTAGGAAGTAGGCTCCTAGTATAATTTTAAATTTGCTAATGAATTGTTGAGTGAATTCTGTCAGTGAAGTGTAATGCTGATAAAAGAGTGTAGAAAATTAAATGCTATAATAAATGAAGCTTTAGGAATCATAATTCCAGATATTTTATGTACCATGTATATGTGAACCTTCAATACTTACTTCCATTTTGAAAAATAATAATTATAGGCAAAATTAGAATTTCTCATTGTCTTTTAATATTCTTGTACTATTTATAGTTTAGTATCTTGTTTTTAGCAGAATAGTTTCTGAGTCCTTGATCTTGTTTGCCATATTTTGAGTTCTATTACCATAACAAGTCATATTTCTATGATCTAACATTAAGCTTTATCAGTGGCCTTTCTTGGAACTTTGAAAAAAATTTACCGTTCCCTTAACAGGTGAAACTGTGACTGGAGAATTATCAAAACTCTTGGATGAAATAAAACTCTGTCAAGAAAAGGATTATTCTTTTGAAGACTTGTGCCACACAATATCAGACCACTACTTAGACAATTTGAGCAAGATTTCAGAGGAAGAACTTGGGAAAAATGGAAGCCAGAGTGTAGTAAGTAAGGGGGGCAAGAAGCCAGTTCGTCTGTCTTTACCAGTTCAGTGTGTGCCGAAGAGGCATGGGCTTGTGCATTATCTTACCTGCCGACTCGGGCAGTGTCAAATGTCAGGCTAGCTGTTACTTTTTCCCTCATGTTCATTGGTGTTTTATTCTCACTGCGTGTGGAGGGGAAGGGATGCTAGATAAATTACGTGTAGTTTGTGATGATCTCATTACTGTTAGACATTCGTAGTTTCATAGTTTCTTTGATTATGTCCTTTTAGTTTTATTGGGTGTGAGGATACTGGTTTCCTTTTGTCCTTCTTCCCCATGTTGTCTGTGAACTGAGTCTGACTCCATCTTGAAGAAGAAAGCCAGAGCCCTGTGGGTACGGTCACTCCGCATGTCATTGTAGGAGAGAGACATGGTGGGAAGTTGGACCTCCATGTTTCTATAATCCCAAGGGCTTTGCCTGTAACCTACAAGCTTAGAATCTGAATCATGAGTTACTGATGCTTGCTCAGTTGGATTTTTGTATTAGCACAACAGCAAGAAAAACTGTGAGAATCAAGCAGTTTAAAATTAAGATTTGCGTATCGATTTTGTGTTCTATAGAGGAAGGATTTATAGGATGCACTGGCATTAAAGGAACTATGATGATACTTTTATACCTTAATTTGTTTTAGAAACATTTTCTTCTAAAGCCAATGGAGTGGATTGTGTTAAAGGGATGCTATGTGATTTATGAAAACAAAAATAAATAGCTAAGTATCGTGATTGGCATGAGACTATTTACCTCATTTAGTTAATGTGAGCTGTGACGCTTTCTCAGGTAGCGGCTCTTAGTCTGGAAGGTCCACAGCTTTTGCTTTTGTTTGTTTGTTTTCTGCACTGTCTTTTGTAAAACATCACACTGTGGGCTCCAATGGAAGGTCTTTATGAATGATGATGATTAATTATATATGCGCAGAAGTAAATATTTGTTGGTTTTACCAAAAGAATTTATATTAATGAAATATTTATGATAGTAACCTTAATGTCAGGAGAAAATTCCCTTTTTAAAAATGTAAAAAGGTATATGCTATCTCCAAATTACAAAGCAATTACATTTCAATATTTCCTTGAAATAGGTTAGAAATGAGACCACATTTTTTTCTGCTTAAACAATCCATGGTGTTTAGGTTTTTATATCTGCCCCTAAAGATTTCTATAAATTTGCTGTTTCTGACCCTCTATGTTTAAACCCACAGACTTTTGGAAAGCCCTCATTTACTAGGCCAGTTCATTTCTCAAACTTTTCTTACTGTATGTACCATAGTAGCAAACAGATTTTGAGCAAACATCCCAAATGCATTTATTTATACATTATATATATATTTACTAGTATCCTAAGAATATATGATGTAAATTATGAGTAATATACTACAAAAGAAACTCAAGGGAGGAGGATAAAGAATAAGTGTCAATAGAAGCTCTAATTTTATTCTTTTACTCAGTGGGTAATCTGTGCCCCCTTGGGTCTGCACACTCTCTTTGGAGACCATGCTCATTCAAATTTGTAGCTTTCAGATAGTGATGGAAGGGGCATTTGGCATTGCTGGGGTGACATAATTTGAGGAAACGATGGCCAGTCCCCTCCCCCCCCTGCCCCCTGTAAGCCAAAGACTGTATTGTGATAGTAGCATGAGAGAAATTAATGCTCATAAATTGAAATTAAGTTCTTCAAATTCAAGTTCATACTTTCACAGAAGCAATCGCTCTTTGTTTCAGTGACAAACCTTTATATTTTGTTCCTTAAAAATATTGCCATTTTAAATATTAAACTTTACATGAGGCTGAAAAGCAGAAGGAACAGATGAGTAAGAGCAAGGAGTTCTGTTTATTTGGAATAATCCTATCTAATAAAAGACAAAAAGGGTAATTAACTGTACCTCCGCTACACTTCCCATTGGCTAATCAGGACGATATGCAAATTAACTGCCAAGAAAGATGGCGGTTAACCGCCAACAAAGATGGCGGTTAATTTGCATACATAGGCACAATGCTGGGAGGCGAAAGGGGAATGATGGAAGAAGCCGCCTGACCGTGATCAGAAACCCAGGTGGCAGCTAAGAGCCAGGTGGCAGGGCAAAGGCAGCCCTGGGGCTCAGAGGGAATGCAGCGATGGCAGGGGGCCCCCGCCCCATGTGCAGCCCACCCCGTGTGCGGCCTGGCCATTGAGGGGGGCTCAGAGGGAACGAGGGGGTGGTGGGGGCCAAGAGTGCGGGGCTCAGAGGGAATGCGGCAATGGCAGGGGCCCTGACCCCTGTGTAGCCTGCCCCGTGTGTGCCCTGGCCGTGGGCGTTGGGCTCAGGAGGCTTGACCAGCAAAACAGGACTGTAGATTGGGAATGGGCGCAAGGCAGACCTCCTGGTCCTTCCCCCCAGCCGGCAGGCTCCTATCAATTTTTAGTTTCTACTGAAAAGAATGTGGCGCCTCCACTGCGCAGCCTCCCTGAACTCGGACTCGCAGGCTCCGGAGTAGAGACTTCACCAAGGACTTAAGTGCCTGCTCAGGAGAAAAACCACCACCTCCCTACTCCACAGCTGCTTCTGTGTCTGCAAGAAGTGCACATGCTCCTCTCTGTGACACGGGTAGGGCCAGAGCCTGAGTGAGGGGGTCCACCATAGCATACCAGCTGGACCAGTGCAGGGATAGAGGGAGGGAGGGTGAGGAAGGAGCAAGGAGGAAGCCCTGGTTCTCTGCTCCTCCTCCCACAGGCATGGCCCTGGCTGCTGATATGATAAAAGGAGTTGTGTTTTTCTAACTCTGTCTGGGTAAAGAAACAAGTGTCTGCTGACTTCTGATCTTATTCTCTGAGCTGCCAGTTAATCCCTCTGGCTGCATCATATCCAACCTCCAAGGGGCAGGATCAACCTTCATTCCATAGTTGAGGAAACTGACCAATAAACACAGGTGTCTCATGCCTCAGTGTTAACTCCCACAGGAATCTCGGGTAATGACTCAGATTCTATATCTAAGGGTTTATTTTCTTGTTTTCATGTTTAATTCAGCCCCAGGAATCAAATAATACAACAAAGAATAAAATGAGTTTAGAGGGCTCAGCATTGTATTCCCAGGGCCTGTGGTCCCACCCAAACTGCAGAGCTCAGTTATCCTGAGATGAAAGGAAAGGGAGCCGGCAGTCCCAGATTGTGAGAGGGATGTCTGACTGCCAGTTTAGGCCTGATCCCTGTAAACCAGCAGTAGGACATCCTTCCAGGGGTCCCACATTAGAGAGGGTGCAGGCCGGGCTGAGGGACACTCCCCCCCACCCCGAGTGCACACATTTTTGTGTACTGGGCCAATAGTAGAGTTTATAAAGAGAGGAGATGGGGGGAAGAAGGGGTAGGTATAGAAGGATAGGTAGAGGTCAGGCCATGGATGATTTTGAATGTCATGCTGAGAATTTTGATATTTATTTCGTAGGGAATGAGGAAAAATCTAAAGGATTTTGGGCAGGTAAGACATCAATGGAAGTGGCCTTTCAGAAGATAAATGTGGTAGAACTTGTTATTGAATGTTGAAAATGTAATCAAATTATTTTTGCCCTTGTCTGCAGCCTGTGTTTTGTTTGGGTTCATTCCCTGTTTTGTTTGAATATTTGTTTCCATTCATCAAAAATGTTTTTTTCAGAGTTTTGTTATGAATTATACTCTCAAATTATGCATCAATTTAACCAAGTACTTGTAGATCACCTATAGGTCATCTCCACATTGTGAGCTATCCTATATAATAAAAGCCTAATATGCAAATAGACCGAAAGGCAGAACAACTGGTCGCTATGACGTGCACTGGCCACCAGGAGGCAGACGCTCAACATAGGAGCTGCCCCCAGCCTGCAGGCCCCAACTGGTGGCTGTGGCGGGGTTGGGACAGGCGGCACCAGGCCAGCCCTGCCAGTCACCCTGCAGAGAGAGGCGACTGGCAGTGGTGGTGGGGGTCGGGGCCAGCAAGCAGGCGGTGCCAGGCCGGCCAAGACGGGTGTGAGCAGGAGCCCTGATCACTCCGCTGGTCGCCCCACAGATCAGCCCTGATCACTGGCCAGGCCTAGGGACCCTACCCATGCATGAATTTCATGCGCCAGGGCCTCTAGTAGGATTTATAATAGCAATAATGAGAGACAGTGCCAGACTTCAAGGAATTAAAAATACTTTTTCCAAGGAGTCTGTAGTCACAGTGTGTAGGCAATGCTAACATATACCAATAAAGCAACAGCTATATAAGAGCTACATTTATTAGATGCTTGTTGTTTGCTATTCTAATGTTTTCTATGATTTAAGTCACTTTGATCCTCATAGTAGTCCTAAGTGAGTTATAGACTTGGGAAATGACTCAGCAAGTGGCAGATTCAGGATTCAAACTCAGAGCCAATGTCTTATATTTCTCATAATAAACTATACTGTGGCCAAAGGATTTTTTTTTAAGGAGGAAGAGATTAGTGACAATTCAATGGCATTCATTGAAGACTTCATGGAGGTAGGGAGAAACGAAACTGGGTCCTGGTGGAAGAGGAGATGTGCCTTGTACGTGTATTAGAATGAATGAATAAATGGGAGAGGATTCCAGCCTGCAGAGACAGTACAGAGGTGAGACATAGCATCTAATTTAAGGAGAATAGTTTTCCATGAGAGTTGATTTGAGAAAGTAATGGGAAACAAATTTGCATGAGTTATATTAATACCTTACACTTAGGGAGCACTTTATTTATATTAACTGGTTTGATCTTCACAATAATCCTATGAGATAGATAGACTTATTTTTCCCATTTCACAGATGAGAAAACAGAGGCACAGAGAACTTTTGTGATTTTCCCAAGCATACATGGTAAATACCAGCACCAGGACTTGAACACAGACAGTCTGGGCTGGAGCCATACCCCTTACCAGACAAAATTTTGCTAGGGGCAGATAATTACATTTGGAAAGCTAGTCAGAAGTTTAATATTGATGCTGAGGAGAATAAACATTTGAAAA